CCGGCGCGCGGCGCTTGAGGGGAGAGCGCCGGCCCCAGGAATGGGCGGAAGGGGGGGCCCCGCCCCCGAGCGCCCGGCGGGCAAACGGCCACGCCCCCTGGCGCCCGGCAACCCCAAATGGTTGGGGACCACTGCAGTAGATGAAGCACTGAATATGAGTCAACAGTGTGCCCTTGTTGCAAAAAAAGCTAACAGTACATTGGGCTGCATTAATAGGAGCATTGCTAGAAGATCAAGAGAAATGATTATTCCCCTCTATCTGGAACTGGTCAGGCCATATCTGGAACACTGCATCCAGTTTCCCCCTTACCCGACTACATAAATGATGTAGAAAAACTGGAGAGAGTACAGCGAAGGGCAACGAAAATTATTAGGGGGCTAAGGCACATGGCTTCAGAGGAGAGTCTGAGTGAACTTGATTCATTTAGTCTGAAGAAGAGAGAGGGGATATTTGATAGCAGTCTTCAACTTACCTGAAAGGAGGTTCCAAAGAGGATGGAACTAGGCTATTCTCAGGGGTGGCAGATGACAAAAGAAGATGCAATGGACTCAAGTTGCAGTTGGGAAGGTCTAAGTTGGATATTAGAAAAAACTATTCCACTAGGAGGGTGGTGAAGCACTGAAATGGGTTGCCTCAGGAGGTGATGGATTTGGCATCCTTAGAGGTTTCTAAGGCCAGCCTGGAAAAAGCTCTGACTGCAATGATTTGGTTGAGATTGGTCCTGCTCTGAGCAAGGGCTGAACTAGATGACCTCCTGAGATTTAGGAGTAGTCAGCTCTCAGCACTGCCCAGACAATGCTGCTCAGGGCTACAGCAGCAATTTAAAGGCCCCAAAGCCCAGGAAGCAGTAGGGGCAGCGGCCCAGAGCCCTAGGCAATTTTAAATCACCAGGCCTTGGGGAAACTGCCCCTTTTGCCCCCTACCGTTGGCAGGTCTGGAGACAGAAAGAGAATAAATCTGATTTTGCAGTCCAACATAATGAATTCACTACAGCATTATTATTTTATTAAAAATAACATACAAAGCATACAACTTTTAAAAATACCTCACCCAAGGTATGCATTCATGCTGTGAACATTCTCTGGAAATGGCTTCCCATTCTCCATATCTGTGATACCAGCTCCTTTTAGGTTGTCTTTCTGTTAAAACATTCAGATCTATGAATATTTTACAGTATTAAATATCAGACAATCATAAAATATCCATCTTTCTGTAACTCTACAGAAATGGCATTGTTCAAATACCTAACCAAAAGGAAACCAATTTTGCAAACACTGTGCAATGGGAGGATGAGTTAGTATTTTTTCATCAGAGCTTTCTTGAAGTTGGAGGAAGCAGTCTTCAACTGCAAAGATAGTAAACCTATACAATGTATCAACTCATTGTAAGTAGGGCAGTGAAAGAAGCCATAAAACACATTTAAAATTGAATATAATCAAATCTTTTTCAGAGAACTATCTGCTGTAATCACAGTAGTTGCAAAGTCAGAAAATGAAGCTACCACTGAGGCTGAGGGGTCACCTCACAGGTTTCAGTAGCACAGTATCAATTCAGTCTTAAAGTGCACAGCTGACAATTCTTTAATTGTTGAAGAACTTCTCTGGGGTCACAGGCAATATTTGGATCTGGAATATCTATCTAAACAGCCTTTCTGAGGTCCTAACACAGATGTCAACATTACAGGTGTAGTCAGGCCTTCTATACTGATGCAGTTAATATACTGGATTTTAGTGCCTTGACCTTTTCTCTTATGTCCATCCCCACTTTTCATTACTTAAGTTAATAAAGACAGACACTACTTTAATTGATTAGAAACTTAGCCTTTGACAAAGATCTTCACTTCTGTTATATTACTATTTATTAAGTGTCAGACCAAAATTTTACACACACTAAAGTTTTATCACACTGCATTTATAAAATTTTAAAATGCTTGGTGTCGACAATATGGATCATTATCATTAGAGTGCTGCAAAGCTACAGATATCCACTTTATATCTGCAGATCATGTTTGTGAATCATGGATCATAAGTAGATATAAATTTTGAATCCACACAGGGCTCCAATTACCATCTACATAACTGTTGGTCACTTGCTTGATTTCTGGACTAACAACAAATTAGTCTAAATGCTGACTGCAGATCAGAAATGTCCAAACTGTTGTCACAGGATGACCAGACCAGCAACATACCAAAGGTGAATTCCTGGCATCGTTAACATCAATGACAAAACCCCCAC